GGCCATGTCGTCTGCATATTGTTATAAAGATTAGAACTCCAGTCATTTGTTGAACTGATAAATTGAGAGCGTGGCTGGAGAGTTGGACTGCAGAGGGTGATTCACACTGCTTCGTGTTGTTTTTTTTTTATTAGAGTTAGTTGATATAATGTGAAGAATAATCTCTGGTTTACGAAGGTAACTTGTTCTGTGGGTTTCTCAGCTGCTTTGTTCCTACATGAGGTGTCATATTCTGCAGAGGATGTTTCATGATGAAAGTACTGGTGCTGCTCAGTGTGGAAATAGAAACAAAATAAGGAGGATTCTGTTTTGATCAGATAAAGTTCAGGTTAAAGTCTGGTTTTTAATGTTCTACCTTCACCTTCATAAAACAATGGGCCTCATGCAAGAACCGTTGTTATGCACAGATTTGTTCTTAAGTTGTGCGTACGAGTGATTTAGGAGAATTTGTGTCATTCACCAATGTTTTCGTATTCTAAGATTTTTTTCAGATACGAACAAAATTCACGTGTGGTCCAGACCTGTCGTGTATTTTACGAGCAGTCAGTCTGCTGTTATCCAGATGGATAATGGTGCGCAACTGCTCTTCTTCTGAATAAATGAAAACTATGTAACACAGGTGTTTACACTTAAATTAAAAATATTTGACCAAAGAAAAACCAGAGCAGGACTAGAGAGAGATGAATATGATTTAGATTTTTATTTCTGTGTCTGTATACGACACATGGGAGACATTAACAGCAATCATCATTTCATTCCTCAGCTTTAGCAGTTCCTTTAATTCCACAGCTGATGCTGCTAAAATGACAGATTTTTTTTTTTCTGGATAGCAGGACTTCAACCTCCGAACTCGTAAAGTTCTTCTTTTTTACTTTGCAATGTCATTTATGAGTGGACGCTTCCTGGTATGTGGGGCAGGAAACGTATAGCCTTTTATATGGTGTTTTTCGGGTGGTAATTATGCTAATCACCTCTCCTCGTGCACGAGCAGCTGGATACACATTCATCAGTTTACGCTCCTCATTTACACACTTTTCCTGGAGATAGAAGAGTTTGTTGAATCTGATGTGGCATGTTCGTACGAACCCTTCATACGAACAAAAGTAAGAGAAATTTGGGCTAAGAAAACAAACACGAACATGTTCTTGCATGAGGCCTATTGTTTGCATTTGTATGTTTTAAACCTGAACTATGTGAAAATCTCACATGAGCATCCATCTTGGACGCCATCTTGAATTTCTCAAAAGCCACAAGGGAGATTCTTGGAGACTTAAAATGTTATTTGTTCTGGGTTTGCTTCAAATTTGACGTACCGTAATACTCTTCATAATAATAAAATAAGACTTCAAGAATAATAAAAGACTTCGAGGCTGGTGCAACTTAAGATCCTGCACAGGGTATACTGGACACCATTTAAACTGTACAGGGTTGGTCTGTCAGATACCTCGGCGTGTTGGAAATGTCAGGAGAATAATGGCACACTCGTACATCTGCTCTGGGAATGTCCACAGATCCAAAACTACTGGTCATCAATTCATGAAATTTTAGAAAAAATAGTTGGCCAGAAGATGTCCTTTTGCAGCAAACTGTATATTCTTGGGGACTCGTCATCACTGAACCACTTACCTCCCCCTCTCTCACATTGGGTACAGACAGCAGTTATGTTGGGAAGAAAGCTTTTGGTGGGAGAGTGGACGGGCACATCGTATTCCCTCTCTGACTCATTGGTATAGCTCCCTGGGCAAACTTGCTGCACTAGAGAGATTATCCTATAGATTGCTAAAAAGAGTGGAGGAGTACAATAAGAAGTGGTCCTATTACCTTTTTTATATGGTTTATGGCATTTTCAGCTAAAATTCAATTTAATTCCGCAGTCTAAGGTATGGTAACGGTATAATTACTGGAAGGTTTCTGGGCGTAGGACACTCATTTATGTTAGTTTATGAGTGAAGATTTTTGGCTAATGTTGACTTATACTACACTTATTATTGTCATTGTCATTTTTTGTTTTTATTTAATTATTTTTCTATTTTTTCAATTAATTTATTTTATTTTATTTTCCTTCCATTTAAGATTATTCTTGATGTTTGGTTAACTGTGAGTTTATTTTAAGAAAACCAATAAAGTTTAAATCATAAGTAATAATAAAAGACTTAAATTTGTTTATATGCCACTAAGTGACAAAGAAATTTGTTTAGTTTTTTGTTTATTATTTTATTTAACAGGGACAGTGTGCAAAAACATTAATAAAAGATGATTTGCACAAGGTTTAGCTTAAGATAATTTCCATTAGCACCGTCTCTGTGCGCTGTACAAAAAACTATCACTTTCACTTCTAAATATGCTTATCCACAGTTTAGAAGTAAACACCAGTAAACTAAGTTTTTAGCGGTGAGCTGGCTGATAATGTTTGTACAAAGTGACCCAACACAGGTACAATATGGTCACTGGTCATACAGTAGGTGGGTACAAAGAGACCTGTGGAAGGTAACTGCCTGGCACGTGTTGACCAAAGCTGCACAAGTACAATTTATTGAAGGTACAAAATGACCTGGAGCCATTAGATCACATCACGCTGCATCTTTTTGAGACTCTTTGTCTCCTCCATTTAACCTGCCAACGCCGCAAATTTGGTCATTCCCTGCACTTCCCATTCCATTTGTGAATGGACAGAATAAAAACAATCACATGTAAGAATCACTTACATGTAAATAAATCCTGAGAATAACTGAACATTTCTCACAGGTGCCCCAGGATCTGTCCAAGCTGAAGAACGACATATTTCGGTGTCGTGGATGTCAGCGGTACCTGCGCTCTGCTGACTTCAAGGGTTTGCAAAATGCTTGGTGCCGCAACTGTACTGGAACGGACAACATAGCTAGATCTCGTGATGAGCTCTCTCTGTACAAAAGTATATTGATGAGGTTAAGAGAGGATGAACAGCTGCTCGGCACAGATGCTAAGATCCCCTTCCTTCTGCAGGTAAACACTCCCCTATCTGTTCATCTGAGGGATTTATCTCCTTTATCTACAAAGCTGACAAAAACTCCTGCATATTTTAGATCTCTGGTATTTAAAATCAAATGGTGCGTTTGTTTCAGGTGGAGGACATGCGGTACCTGACAGAAACGGTTTGGGCGTCCCGCTCCGCTCTCAGCGGCAGCAGTGACCTCTACAATCTGGTGTTTTCTCGCTGGGAGCGCCAGAAGGACTGGAGCCCCTGGAACTGCATCCTGCTGTCCAAAGAAGAGACATCAGCTCACTCAGAGGTTGAGGATGTCCACCAGGTTTGTCAAAAATAAAAGATGTATACACATTCTGCTGGCTCAGGTCCAGACAAACCTAAGATAACCAATGAAGCACACCCTCCTGTGATTAAACCTATGCAATTGTCCTCAGTCCTTCAGTTGCTTCCTGCTGTGTGTTTGTGTTCAGGTGTATCAGACAACGCTCATCTGCTGGATTGAACGCAGACACATGATGGCCCGACAGCATTTCAGCCACATCCCTAAAATGGCAAAACATCTGGGATCTGAACTAGCTGCTGTTTTGGGCAACCAGTCGGTGTCCAAAGCCATCACCAAAGAGACTGGGAGTACATCTCATTAGGAAACTCCGTGTTTGTCATTGTTTTCCATTTCCAACACTCACAGCTGTAACATTTCAGACATTGTAGGGGAAATATTAAACTGAATTCATTTATGGTTTTGTTCTTAATTCTGAATCATTTCTTTTGACACCTAATTTGTACATTTTATTAAACTAGTAACCTAAAACAATTTACAAGAGGAGAATAGTTCTAATTTTAAAATATATTAGACCAAAATCAGTGAAACAGTTTTTTTTAACCTTTATAAAAGCTGATCTTTGTTGACTCGTTAACTTAAAATGAGATTGCAGACAGCCTAAATCATTTTACTTTCTGTAGACAGAGTACCTTAAAGTATTCACACCACTTGAACTTCTCTATATTTCATCAGGTTACATAATATGTGGTGCTGTTTGTAAAGTTACACAGTCAAAAATTACCACCAATATTTTTGCTTTATTTAGTCTTTCATAAAAAAGGGTTTATTTTTCAAAGTCAGATCATCACCATGTTATTCATGCATTTATAAATGTCATAGTTTAAAAACTAAACATTTTCCTTACAACTTAAATATTTAGTTAGAAAGCTAATTAATTTGCAAAAGCTAAACATTTATCTTGCTAACTAAATATTTAGGTTTTAAGTTAAACATTTTGTTTGTAAACTATGACATGTATAAATGTATGAATAACATGTTGAAAATCGGACTTTGAAAAATAAACCCGTTTGTTTGTTTGTTTGTTTGTTTGTTGTTCTTATTAAAGGCTAAATAATGCCGAACATTGCTGGTAATTTTAGACTCTGTAACTTCACAAACGGCACCCCATATGTTAAAACTGCAAACTTCAAAAGAATTTGCTGGGATTTGATGTGATAGACCAACACACAGTAGCTCATAATTATAAAATGGAAGGAAAATTATTCAGTGTTTTCTTTTTTTATTTTTATTTATTTATTTTGTTTGTTTGTAACTAAAAATATGTAAAGTGTTGTGTGCCTTTGTATTTAGCCGTCTGACTCAACACGCTGTAAAACAATTCCAGCTGCAGGGTTCTTGGTTTTTGTCGCTTCGTACATCTGGAATCAGACTTTTAGTTTGTGTTTGCCAAGCAGTTCAAGCAGAGTCCGACTGGATACTGAAGGTATCTGTGCCACAGACTCTCAGATGGATTTAGGTCTGGAATTTGGCCCATCCCATCATGAGTTCTTGGTATTTTATAGATTTGCTGTTAGTTCTTCAAAGGATGTTTTTATGTTTCTTTGGTGTTTTTTTCATTCCTTGTGTTTGTTCCTTAGTGGTTTTTTTGAGTCGTTCTTTCCCTTAATCATATACCTTCAGTCAACCATTCACACCTGCTCCTTGTTAGCATTAGCCTCAACTATCACACTCCTCGCTCTCGCTCACTGTGCAGTTCATCAGAGTTTATCTGTCTGCCACTTCTCTCTGAGCTCCTTATGTATGTTGCTACATTTGCATTTAGCTGTCCCATAAGCATTTCTGTAATTACTGCGTTTAGTCTTTTTGATGCTGCCACGCAACATTTTTATTAGCGTTAAATATTCACTCCTTTTGTTGAGTCTTTGTGTAAGCCTGCGTGCTCGGGTTTCTGTCTGCAACAAAAACCTGACACATTCAGAGTCAGAATGACCTCATAAATATAGGATAAGATAAGGAAAGATAGGATAGAATCTTTATTGTCACTGTCACTTTTACACACTCACAATTTTGTCACTTTTGTTTTCAACAACAAAATTGCAGGCAGTCGACTCAGTGTTGGGCATGATAGAAAGAAAATTGATCGCTTTAGGGTAGAAACTGTTTCTGAGGTGGTTTGTCTTGGTTTTCATTTCTCTATATGGCCTTCCTGATGACAAAAGCTGTAAAAGTCAATGTTTATGGTGTGGTGAGTCCTGTGCAAGGCCTATAGATTTTAGGTGTAAATTTGTTCCAGAGTGGAAGGGTACATCTGATTGTTCTCTCTGCTGATTCGATGGGTTCGGCATCAAGTCTTGAGTCGTGATAGGAACTGAGACACGCCAATCCCTGGAATTGTTCGAATTTTAAAAATTTCACTTCCTACTTTTGATACCCAGTCTGCTAACTGGAAGAAAAAGCCGCTTAACAAAACCCACAGGTGAGCCTCCCGAGCACCACCAAAGAAGAATTCGTAGTGATCTAAAGTGTGTCACAATCGGTATTGATCAAAACCTGAATGCAAGCAGGAGGCGAGAGGCACAGATAAGAAAGCTAATTTTATTAAGAAAAACAAAAGTTGTGACGAAGCAGCCAAAAGCTCTACTTACAAAGATCTGGGGAAACCATGAGGGTCACAGAGACGATTGAGACGATGTAGAAACACTTAATGCTCTGCTACCGGAGACACAAAGGGCGGAAATATATAAAGGGGAACACTGATGAACTGAATGACAAACACCTGGGGCGAGACAACAAGGCACATGTGGATGGAGCAGGAGCAGAACTAAGACAGAAACACTGAGGAGCTGAACACAAACACAAGTATCACAATGACACAGACAGATCCTCACAAAGTGTGGCTTAGCTTTAATAAAAGAACTAGATACTGCATAACAGTAGCATAAAAGACCCCCACACGTACACAAAGCATCAATGCACCAGAACAGATTTATTGTTTTGGGTGGGGGGTTTAGGTGTGTTGATGGGGCCCATTGGTGGGCCCGATGGATAGCCTTCATCAGAGCTAAACAACAAACTATCTGAAGCCTTTTTGTATGTCCAGACACCCGCTATTTAGATGGAGCCCCTTCCTCATATATGAGGTCTATGGTAAAACCGTTGACTGGCACAGTGTAGGTCGGACTCATCTCCATTCCTGCCAAACTTCATGTCGATCGATGCAGCCATTTCTGTGCTACGGTTGACCAAAAATCACTGACAAAAATAAAATAAAACAGTATGAAAACAATACGACCCCCCGCTTTGTGTGTGGGGGTCATGATTATGTCATGCAAGGGAGAGCGCACAACCAACATGATTAAACACCACTCAGGGTTTTGTCTTTAATGTGCTGTGTGTGCGTTCACAGACACTCGTAAGGAAAACAGTAACATCCATCTAATACCAACACTGAGGCAGCTAACAATTTATACTAGAGCTTCAAACTGCAGCATCAGCTCAGTAATATGATGAAGCAGCTGCAGCATCAGCTTCATGTCCAATTTTCTGTCCACTTCATTATTATGTTCTGCTTTGTGCTTTTCTTTTATTTACAATTTACTAAAATACTTTCAGGTATGTGATTGGAATTTGGTAATGTGGACAGTTCAAGGGGTTATGAAGACATTTTGAAGGCACTGTATCCAATCTGCACCTGCATAGTTGGAATATTAAAAACGTGAAACCTTAAAGCAGAAACCACCAGTGTTAAATCTAAAACACTCTCTAAATTTCTACAATCATATCTTGTACCTCTACCATCATTAACACAAACCAGTGAATTTAATTCAAGGAACTCTTCAATGATCAATCCATTTGCATCTGTATTTAGACTTCCCCATAATATATTATGCAAATTGAAATCACCGCACCATACAGTCTTACCCTCATTCTGTGCACTTGTTTCATTAAAGTCCTGAATGGTCAACTTCTTGTTACAATTATAAAAAATAATGAAACATTCCTATCCAGATTTTAACAACTATTGATTCATGATTCTGTCCTATTCCTTCCACTTTATGTTTTAAACCTTCTTGTATAAAAGTTGCCACTCCTCCACCGTGCCTTTCCTTTCTATCATTTCTTCTTACTGTATATCCTTGAATTATAAAATCTAATTGGGGCTTCAACCAAGTTTCTTGAATACAAAGAATATGAGGTTTGACTACTAAATCTGAAATGTACTTCTTAAATTCTTGACCATTTCTAATGAGACTTCTTGCATTCCACTGGAATATAACTAACATGAGGAAGAAGGAGCTGCACATGTTGAGATACAGAAGATTGATTCTCTAACCGCCGGCCTCTGCCTCTTCTTCTTTCCTTTTTTTTAAATTGCTCCATAGAACAACATGCACCAACAGTACATCTGAGGGTGGG